GTAAAAGAATATCTAAAATGTTAATAAGAGAAAAATAAATAAATAAGACAATAAGACAAATAATAAAACTAAAGTAATAAAAATTAATAATTAATTTAAATTATTATTATACTTATAAATAATATTTTCATATAGTCATTATGAAATTTTATAGTTATAAAATAATAACATTTAATTTCACTTTATAAACAATTAACACGATAGAAAATTCAAAATCGATTACTTTTTTATAATTTTAACAATAATATTTGTTAAATTTTAATTAAAATAATATTATACTTAATTTATAATAACAAATCCTAACATCATTAAAAAGTTTAAACAAATAATAAACATAGCATAATATCATAGCTTAAACTACACCTCAATAACAATTCACAAAATAAATTAAAATTGAATAAGAGTAAAAATATTAATTTAAACTCAATTTAAATTCAATTTTAAAATAATGAAAAATAAACACAATAAGCCAAGTTAAGTACAAGTTTGCCTTCACCCTAACCAGGCCTCTCTTTTCGCCACATCATTGGACACTTAGCATCTTGCCACGTCACCTTACCTCACATTTTACCGTTGTAACAAAGGCAAAAACTTTCTAAACATTAAACATATAGGATAATCAAAATATTTATAGGATTGATTTATTATAATATTTTTAATAAGTATTTATTCGTAAGCACATAAATTTTTGAAATTAATTTATTCATATCAATAATGATTGAACAATCAATAGTGAAACGTTAATAATTAATAACATTCATTGAAAATTTTCAATAATTAAATACTAAGTTTATTATTATTATTATATGAAATTAATTACATATTATTATTAACTGAAATTAATAATTATTACCTGAAATTAATAAAACGACAACAGTGTTCAATCAACTCCTTAAAAGCTAGCTACATTACAAGGTAATTTGCTATTGTCAAGTCTGTCTACGTGCTCACATAACAAACCCCAAGATCCTTACTTCCACATTAATTATTTACTTACTGTTACTAAAAATACACCAACCACTGCCTTATGAGTTAATGATTCATGACTTTTTTCATATACTTACATCAACTCATAATTGTCTCACGATATATGAGATCGATTGACCTGACCGCCGGTTAGTCGTGTCGTGATCAGGGTTATAAATTTCGAGAATTTCTTCCATTATTCTTCACTGGGACAAAAACTTAGCTATATATTAACCATTTTATTAATGTTTTTATCTTTTTATCATATTTTATAATTACATTGGTTGTAGGAATGCAAACAGAGATGGGATTCAAATCAGATGCACTTACAACTTAATTAAGCAAAAAATTATTATATACTTCTAATTCTTCTTGTTCTTTTTTTTTCTGTATTTAGTAATATACCTAAATCTCTGTACGTGCCGTTTGAGTAGTGCAGCATCACATTTAACTCCCCCTCCCTACATTAATTTAACCAGAAATAAATGACTTAGAAATACTAATCTACAACCCTTAAAGCTCAGTTTGGAAGGAGTATAGATACGAATTTGTAGAATACAAAACCTTATATTTTGTATGCATTTTCGCTGTACTTATTTGTTTGTATAATTTTTGTATGTAATATACTGTTTTTAAAACCGGACCAGATCGGAAAAACTGGGACTTGACCGGTTTCGTTTTCCTCGAAAACCATTTTTTCTCCAAAACTGTTGATTTTGGTCAGCAAACCGCTGAATCGGCTGGTTAATTGTTTGAACGGTTTTGACCATTTTTCAATTTTTTTAATATTTTTTATTTTTTTTTGTCATAATGAGCCACCTATTTGGGTCGAACGATCGGACCATTCAAACTGGTAACCAGACCCCTGACCGGTTCGGTCACCAGTTCGTTTTTAAAAACTATGATGCAATATTCAAACCAGATCTGACAATAAATTCAAAGTTTTTTGGTAGAGAATAAATTCACATTAATGTTATGCACATGTAAGTATGCTATCCACCCATTCAAATCCAATCAGTGTTTTCGAATCGTTGTTGACCTGGATGATCAGACTGTTTGGCCCAACAACCATCTAGGCAATTGATTCTGTTTTACACTTAACCCAGTCTTTGACTAAAAATCATTGATTTGATCATTAACCTGCTGAATCAGGCAATTAAACCATCAATTCATTTGACTTGTTTAATGTTTTTTGACAAATTTTTATTTTTTAAATTAAAACAAAACATCCATTTGAACCGGATGAACGGTTTGAAAACTTACTTCTAAAAACCAGTGACCAGAATAATTCCAATTACGGACCGGTTTTTAGAACTTTGCTTCCAATTATAAATCATACCACATCTCACGTTAAACCTGTCTTTCGTTTTTCTAACTCGCGTAGGTGGTAGGGACCCACAACATCGGTTTGAATAGACACACCATCATCATTAAACGGTAATTCGTAAATCGGCATGTAATGAGAGCGTATGATATGATACAGATGGAGTGTATTTAATAAGAGCCCGCCGTTCTCTGCACCCGTGGGTGCACGGCAAGCGTGAACAATCGTTTTTCCGCCGATCGGTTCCACGTTTACAAACGTTAGTGGGATGTTTCTTTTGGGGTTATGTTTGGTTTGAAGGAAAAGGAAGCAAAATCAATACAAAAGTTATAAAGGTTTTTCTACATTTTTTTCCTTTCCTTACAATTTCCTTCAAATCAAACATAACCTTGAATTAGGACTGGAAGGAGAATGAAAATGGGAAATTGGGAGAGAGTTTAAATGAAATCCCAAATAATTGGTTTTTATTTATATTTGTCCTTTTGTATCCGGTTCAACCGAGTTCAAGTAGCTAACGTTACTAACGTTAGCATGAGAAATTGGTGACGTGCGCACTCCTATTAGAGAGTTTACGCTTCCCGTACACCCACGGTTTCATAGAACGCGGACTCATTAATAATGCCTCTGATTCACGACTTCGTGGCTACCTGGTTGGCCGAGCCGCCGTAACAAAGGCGTTATCTAATCTTTTATCGTCAGCTGGGAGAATAATTAGAACGGAGTTAGGGATTGCGTTGATTTGATGCTTAAACCTCGGACGGTGGAAGTGTGACGTGGCACGTCAGCTGAAGCCAGATACTATTTTTTCTTTCGCCATTAAAAATGGAAACAATTCTCCCGAAAACAAGAGCCACGCTAGAAGCCAGATACTATTATTATTTTTTGTTTATTGTTTTGACCACAGGATAAAGATTCTAATGGGACCGAGAGCATTTTATTAGAAAGATCCTGTACTATGGGGTCTGTGACAAAAACCCCCTGTATTTTGTTTTGCGATAAAGACTCCTTTGTATTACTACCGTGAGATAAAAGACTCTTTTCTGTAACTTTTTGTTGAAATTTATCGTTTTAATTCCCAAAATACCTTTATAATAAATATTCCAACAATTAAGAGAAAACATTATTCATCTTTTCCAACCTCACGATACCAAATACCGTCTCTCTTTCTTTTCCTTCTCTACCCCACTTGCTCATTGGTTCAGAACTTCTCTACTCCATTCCCTCCGACCCTAATTATGTTTCCTTTCGAGAATCCCTTTGTCGTCATGTGAATCTCCTGATAATTCATTCAATGTGACTAATACTCTAGTTCCCAATCTTTCCAATCTTCCATCTCTGCTCTCTCCCTCACCTTCTCCTCCTCCTTTTAACCAGAAGTCAAGATATCACCGAAGAACAGGCAAGAATAAAGAGAACCGCCACTGTAATCCCCGAAATGAATCCTTTGGACCGCAAAACAGAATTCTTGGGAGGAACAAATGATGGCAGATTCAAAGTAGTCAAGGAATCTCCGATGGAGGCATTCGAATTACTAAAGCTCCAAGCAAGAATCATATGGTATTCAACTAACTGTCCCGTCGCCACAGTGAAACCAACATACATTTCATCCAAGAGAATGTCGGAGAGGTTGATAGGAGTACTAATCAAAGATTGTTGAGGCCTTTTCGTTCCGGCTTGGGCCATAATGACATTAAGCAGAGAATCCGAGTAATCAATCCATACATAATAGAGTAGAAGGGGAGGATAGTGGACGTATTGGGGGCCCTCATAGGTATCTTAGAATTGTAAAGTGCTCGACCAATGGTAAAGGCGGTAGTGTTTGTGAGGACGAGAAGACGGGATTCGAGCGTTGCGGTGCTGTAGAATAAAAGATCAGACAAACTGAAGCCGTTGAAGGCAAAATCGACGACGAAAGATGATCGGAGGAGCAACGCTTTAGCTAATAAAAACAAGAGTAACTGAAGGTGGACAGCCATTTTTAACGGAAGCAGCAGAAGAGAAGAAACTGCTTTGTCGCAGGCGAGAGAGATCTGAATGAAGTTCGGAACCAATGAACAAGTGGAGTAGAGAAAGAAGGTCAAGGAAGATAAACAATATTTTATCCCAATTGTTAGAATATTTATTATAAATGTAGTATGGAGATTAAAACATTGGATTTCAAGGAAAAGTTAAGGAAAGGAGTCTTTGTCTCACGGTAATAGTACAATAAGGGAATCTTTATCGCAAAATAAAGTACAGGGCGTCTTTATCACAAACTCCATAGTACGGGGGGTCTTTATAATTTACCCTTCTATAAGTTCTATTTAATAAAGTTGCGTGCTTATGGGCCTGACTAGGCCGATCTAATCCCCAATTTTGCGATATCCATGGGCCAGGTATTCCGGGATCGGGATGGCCGTCGCCGGTCGCCCCCTACTTAAGCCACCCAAAACACACACCCCCCATTCTTGTCTATTCATTCAACCAACTCTAATTAAATAACAAATACACGGAGGACAGCTAAGCTATATTCACGGAAATCAAAAGGGAAATCCAATGCAGCCTATTATACAGTTTTGGATAAATGAAGAAATTCAAACTAACCGTTTTGACCCTTGGGCAAAATCCCAAATGTGTTAGGATTTAACCATGGTTGAAATGGTTTCAGAGAACTGGGCTGGAGTTGGGTTAAACTTGGGTTAGTAGATGGCTTTAAAAGGGAGTGCTTACTACTCTGTTTTCGCACCCTTCCCGTCTGCTTTATTCGGAGCCTTCCCTCTACTGAAATTGGATGGTGGATACATCCATTTCCCCTTCCGTTTTTCATTTGTTTTAGGGTTTCATTTTGTTCTTCTTTCTTGTTTCGAGCTTCCAGTTTCTGCCTTTTCTGGTGAGCTCCCTCCCTCTTGATCCAATTCCTATGCTTTCGTTTCTGTTTGATGAACTCTGTGAATCACCCCCTCTGTGAATCATCTGTCTCAATTTCAACATGTTGCGCTGCAAAGCCTCTGGTTTTTGGTGGTTTTACTGTTTTAAATTTTATCTATCTTGAACTTATTGAAGAATTCTACGTGAACTCAGAAACCTCCGACAGAAATAACAATACCATCGATCGAGAACATTTCCACAGAAAAATTAATATGAGTAAATTATCTAGATCCTTGTATATGGCCCAAACCTTTAAAACTTCAACGTTCATATGGGAGAAGTCCATACACAACTATTTTATAATGTCTGGCAAGTACTGGATAGTGTTGTGTTGCATATGAAATAAAAAATTACATGAAAAACTTATCTCTAAATTATAATAGCGTTTAAAAATCCGAATTTTCTGAGATTTTTTAAGTCATTTGTCTATATTTTTTTTCTATACTTTTGTGATGCTCTATTTGAATCTTCCTATGTATATATTCTTTGAGGATGTTCTTCGCTTGTTCGAGTATCTGAGATTTTATATTTGTTGATCAACCAATAACAAGGTTGCTGAAAGGAGATGGCGGCGAACGGAACCGGAAACGGGAACCAAGAATTCAGCTTCAAGAACGTTGCAGCTGCTGGCAACGGGCTCGCGAGGATCCAAACTCATAAGAAGCAAAATGGAATCTGTCACGACGACAGTTCCCCTCCGGTTAAAGCTCAGACGATCGATGAACTGCATTCCCTCCAGAAAAAGAAATCAGCGCCAACTACGCCGATCAAAGGAACTCAAGGTGCTTTTGCCACAATTTCCGAAGAGGAGCGCCAAAAGCAGCAGCTCCAATCCATCAGGTAAGAGTGAATCAAAGAGAATTTTTTGTTTTTTTTTTTTATTGAAAACGCATTCAACCCATTTTAATGGTTCCTTCATTAAAATTAGCATGCTGACTTCTGAGTGAATTACCAAAATTAGCTTGCTGTTTGTTGCATTCCTTTTGGCTGCTTGAAGTTCTATGAGTATTTTCGGAAAATCGGTGTTTATAATATTTGTGATCTTTGTTCTGAAACAGTGCCTCCTTGGCGTCGCTGACGAGGGAGACGGGGCCAAAGGTGGTGAAAGGAGACCCGGCGAGAAAATCCGAAACACCCAGAGTTGCTCACGAGCATCACTACACACCGGCAATCAGCATCAGTGACAGCGCTTTAAAGTTCACCCACATCCTCTATAATCTTTCTCCAGCAGGTTTCATTCTCCTGAACCCTTAACCAACTATTCTTTTTTTATTGTTTTCCTTTACTCCAAGTTGTTTGTATTTCGTGATTTAACCGAATCACTGAATGAAAACTTCGCGTTATCGTATCGATTAATTTATCTAAATAGATAGATGCATGGATATAGTTTTTTTTTCTTTTTTCCCATGTTCTGGTTCTACAGCTTCTTCCGGGCTCTCTCTCTCTCTCTCTCTCTCGGGTTATTCTGTATATTTGAATTATGTGGATGTGAAAGATAAATTGACGATCGTTCCCTACAGAGCTGTACGAACAAGCCATAAAGTACGAGCATGGATCGTTCATAACGTCGAATGGAGCCTTGGCGACGCTCTCAGGAGCTAAGGCAGGTCGCTCTCCTAGAGATAAACGCGTCGTAAGGGATGAGACAACAGAAAATGAGCTTTGGTGGGAAAAGTAAGTTGGGTCTTCACTCTTCTTTTTTTTTCCTGTGGTGTAGTTGAATCTTCACTTTCGTTTCTTCTCAGCCATTGGTTTCATTATGGACCTCTCTTTTGACAAAATATATAGGGGTTCACCCAACATTGAAATGGACGAGCACACTTTCCTGGTGAACAGAGAAAGAGCCGTTGATTACTTGAACTCGCTGGATAAGGTATCCTTTCTCTTTTTTTCTTTTCCTTCCTTCATTTTGGATTTCAGCCATTAATGTTTTATAATTCAATTAAGAAATATTGAGTTGTCCATTTGCAAGGTAGGATAAGGTCTATTATTTTTTTGGAAATTAGGAATTCATTATTCATTTCCATGTCCCATGGGGATGGGTTGGGTCCATCTATTTTATTATTTCTGGTTAAAAAAAAAAATTGCATACAAAGAGCCTACACAAAGAAATGGGGAAGCTTTAATAAATTGTTCTTCTTTCCGAAAAGGATAACCTATGCTGTATTTAGCAACACGTCTCCGCGACCGACCGCGGAATTATGGTTCTCTTTCTATGAGCAACAGATCCAACCTGTGTTTGTGTCGATCGATCAGCCTTCATACATCATCTGATTCATCTCTGAATCATTTTTTTTTTAACGGTGGAAGCTTTATAATATGATAGTCTTCTCTCTTAACTTGCGTCCCATGACTGGTATCACTCACCATTATTTTTCTTAATTTTCTTCGGCGACAACTTTCTTGGCTTCCTCTGTAAATTGACTGGAGCTCCTTCAATGGTCCGTTCAACAGTCTCTTTTCTTGTCTTATTTGTGTGGGGCCGTTGCTAAACTACAATATCCTTCATGTGAGTTCCCACGATTCCACGAATAACGGGATCGGTGCGGGTTTTGGGATTAACCCGTCTATGGCTGTTCACGGGTCGGGTTGGGTCGGTTTACTATGGTTTTTCCAATCGATTCGACCTGGTCGGGTTATCTGACATAGAAACCAAAACCGATCTGATCGGTTTGAGTCAGGTTGGATCGGCTTGGGTTGGTTTCGGTTCTAAGTTCATCCCTGTGATAAAATCTTGCTAAATTTAAAAAATCATAAATTGAACAACATTTCAGCCATCTCTTATGATAAAATTTAAATGAAAAATTAATCACAAAAGTTGTTCATTAATCACTATTCACTAATCCAAAATTTCTTACAATCATTAAAAAAACTAGATGGCCTAATGGATTTTGAAACTTCATATTTGAATTAGAAATTAAGTTGATTCAGTTCGGGTTAGTCTGGATTAATCGGGTTAGTCTGAATTGGGCCTTCTTATGAACAGCCCTTTACCCGTCCATTGACAGGCCTCCGTTGGACACAATATTTACTAAGAAACGGTATGTAGTAATAACTGAATGTATAATGCAATTTCAGGTATATGTGAATGATCAGTTTCTAAACTGGGACCCAGAGCACCGAATCAAAGTCCGGATTGTGTCGGCCAGAGCTTACCATTCATTGTTTATGCACAACATGTAAGTAAAAGCGAAATTACATAAATCAGCATATTTTGTTTTCCGAAATCCGAATCCATCCCTCCTCATCCTCAGTCCTCTCAATGATTAATGGGCCTGGGCCTTGCCAGATAAGTCCTCTCTTGTCGTTGATATATACATATTGATACGTACTGTGTTGATTTGTTTATTAACCATCTGTACTATTTACCCATCATCATCCCATGATAGAAATCACTAGCTAGGCATCTAAGCTTTGGGTTAATGAAAAAAAAAAAGTGTACAGAGATGGAACAAAAGTATTAGTTAGTGTAGAAATGGATAACCGCGTGGAGTTGCAGGTGTATCCGACCCACGGCTGAAGAGCTGGAGAATTTCGGTACTCCGGACTTCACCATTTACAATGCTGGGCAGTTCCCGTGTAATCGATACACCCACTACATGACATCCTCCACGAGCGTAGATCTTAACCTTGCTAGGAGGGAGATGGTCATCCTTGGCACGCAGTACGCCGGGGAAATGAAGAAGGGTCTGTTCAGCGTTATGCACTACCTCATGCCTAAGCGTCAAATCCTGTCTTTACATTCTGGCTGCAATATGGGCAAAGATGGCGATGTCGCCCTCTTCTTTGGATTATCAGGTACACTATTACCGGATCGTTGCTGCATGCCCCCGAGAGATTAGGTGGTCTTGTCGCCCTCCCCCTCCCTTGAATTCTTTTTCTTTTTTTTTTTTTTTATTTGCAATCCTGGTTGTTAGCTTTTTGATTTCACTTCCATTTCCTTTATTGCTGCTGATCAGTTATCCAACTACGTTTTGAATGTCGTTAGGAACTGGGAAGACAACTTTGTCTACGGATCATAATAGGTATTTAATTGGAGATGATGAACACTGCTGGAGTGAGAACGGTGTGTCCAACATTGAGGGCGGTTGCTATGCTAAGTGCATTGACCTTTCAGGGGAAAAGGAGCCTGATATCTGGAATGCCATTAAGTTTGGAACCGGTACTAATCCCCCATTCCCACCCCCCACCTTCCTTTTGCTCTTTTCTTACTCTTTTTTAATGGGGACAGAACTCATTTATCATTTGATTTATGTATTGGCCTGGGGGGGTTGGATTGGGGATATACTCGGTTTGATCTTGATCAATGTCTGACTCCTAATTCCATTAACCATTAATGACTTGTGGTTGGCACCATTGGCAGTGCTGGAAAATGTGGTGTTCGACGAGCACACTCGCGAGGTGGATTATTCCGACAAATCTGTTACAGGTTACTATAATAAATCAGGAATTTAAAGATTGATTGATCGAGTTAGATTGGCAATATACATCAGATAAAACCAGAATCAATCTGTCAGGCTGAGAATGATTTCTTCTGATTTGTGTTTCTACTCTCTATTACTTACTGCAGAGAACACTCGAGCAGCATACCCAATTGAGTACATCCCTAATGCGAAGATTCCTTGCGTGGGTCCACACCCAAAGAATGTCATTCTTCTAGCATGTGATGCCTTTGGTGTGCTCCCGCCGGTGAGCAAGTTGAGCCTGGCCCAGACCATGTACCATTTTATCAGCGGCTACACGGCTCTGGTATTTTCCTTCAAATGCCAAATTAAAATGAATTGTGAATTCTAAACTTACGAGTCATGCATAATTCTACAGACAAGCTTCGTTGAAGCTGGAAACTGTTACAGGTTTCCGAAATTTCTGCAATTATCAATCATATGACCATTTCCTGGAATTAAAAACAGGTGGCCGGGACAGAGGATGGTATAAAGGAGCCACAGGCAACGTTCTCAGCCTGCTTTGGAGCAGCATTTATCATGTTGCATCCCACCAAGTATGCGGCTATGCTGGCGGAGAAGATGAGCAAACATGGAGCCACTGGTTGGCTAGTTAACACTGGCTGGTCAGGTGGAAGGTATGCCAGTCAGTCTTCACAGTCATATTACCATCAATTATCCCTATTATCCCTTGGAAACTGGAATAATGGAGATATGAATGCGATTCACCATTTTACTCCTTGCAGCTATGGCTCGGGTAACCGCATCAAGTTGGCACACACAAGGAAGATTATTGATGCTATCCACTCCGGTAGTCTCCTGAGAGCTAATTACACCAAAACTGAAGTTTTCGGGCTTGAGATCCCCACTGAAATTGAGGGCGTCCCTTCACAAATCCTGGATTCAATGAACACTGTCAGTTGGCTTTTCCTTACCCTCTTGGCTTCCTTCAAATTTAAAGTGCTCTCGACCTTCAGTGCTGTAATATGTGTACGTGTGTTAGTTTTGTTTCCACTAATATATGAAAATGTTGGATTGCAGTGGTCGGACAAGAATGCATACAAGGACACCCTGTTGAAGCTTGCAGGTTTGTTCCAGAAAAATTTTCAGGGGTTTATGAATTACAAGATAGGAAAGGATAATTCACTGACCGAGGAGATCCTCGCAGCTGGTCCTATCTTCTGATCTCACTAAAGCAAAGCAATTATGTGGGAGCTTGGGGTCTTATTTAAATGTTCTTTTTTATATGCTTTACTAAAAAAAATCTAAAAAGCCCCTAGACAACTATTATCCCTTTATTTTATAATACAGAAAGATGGTTATTCATTTTACCCAAAAAAAAAAAAAATTGTTGTAGCTTTCTTCTCCTCCCTTTTTTTGGCTTTTTAGATGCTATTAAATTTATTTTAATACTTCAGGATTAACCAGATGAATTGCCAGCTTAATTGGCCATGGACCTACATGATTCCCGGTAAAAACCCTGCACTAGACACGCGTAAATTATGGTTGAATTTCCATTTGAACTGATACAAAACTATGACAGTGCAAATGATTTTAGTGTAAATTCTAAAACAAAATTAAAAAAGAATTTACATTTTTTTACATTTGCACTCCTATACATTTATAGGAGTGCAAATAAATTTACACAGCAACCAAACAGTCTTAGGCTCAGTTTAGAAAGAGTACAAATACAAATACATATAAAATAATATAAAATATAAAGTTTTATACTTTACAAATTTGTATTTATATTCCTTCCAAATTGAGCCTTATCTGCAATTGTATTTCTTTTTTATCTAAACCCTAAGTTGAACCTTTATTTTCTACACTTCTTTAATGGCTGATTTCTTTCCACACTTGGGCTGTTCAAAAGGTCTTGCTCTGTAATTGTAAGTGCATCGATGTGCTGCAAATCAAATAACAATGAAGCCTCCTTAGAAAAAGCGCTTAAACCTCATTTCATTCATTTACGGCTCACTGTTAATCCGTTAAAATCTCTACATGAATAATGGGGAAAGAGAAAGACTAAGGCCATGTCTAAGAGTGATTATTTGGACCATTGAGCACTTATTGGTATTTGAGAAATAAACCTAAAATAAGTGTTTATTTTAAAAATAGGGGCTTATATTTAAGCCCAAATTTCTAGTTTTTTTAAGTGCTTATACAATAAACACTTATTAGCCATTTTTTTTCTTCCAAAATTATTCCTATTTGAATTTTAAAATACCACTTATAAAATTACCCCTAGTTGAATTTTATAAAAAGTACTTTTATGAAAATACTTTTACAAAAACACTTATAAAAGTACTTTTACGAAAGCACTTTTATGAAAGCATTCATAAAAATACTTTCGTAAAAATACTTTCTTAAAAGTGTTTTCATAAAAGTACTTTTGTAAAAGTACTTTAATAAAAATACTTTTTACAAAAGTACTTTCATAAAAATACTTTTTACAAAAGTACTTTCATAAAAATACTTTT